TGTGTGTGTGTGTGTGTGTGTGTGTGTGTGTGTGTTAAAAGCTCTCATTGTTATGGCATTTATAGCATTTTAAGCACAATCACTAGCAGGGTGGTGTACGAGGAACTCTGAAAAGGAGTCGAATCAGCTGACTGTGGCGGATCACATACTGACCAACGACCAGAAATCGTGTGCACACGTCCGTCCGAACCCCGCGCGGGTTATCTCGCAATTTCTTGACCATTCATCAATCACCACCATGGAGGACGATGGGATTTGTAAACAGATGACATGGGGGAGAGAAGGGGGTAAGACTTGTGGATGAGAGAAAAGGAAAAAGGGGTGGACGAAAGGGTTAAGGATTAATGCAATTTTTTTTATTATATATGGATTCTTTAGGGAAGTTTGTCAGCCGCTCGCATTCCTGGATTACACAGTCACAGTGAAAAGGAGGAGTTTTTTTTTTTTCTTTTTGTTTATTTTGTTTGAAAATGTCAATGAGCCTATTGCAATTTTTTATTTAGAATAATTTTTTTTCCTTGGAAATTGTTTTTATTATTTCATTCTCTTTTCTTTAAAAAGTTAAAGAACAAGTTGAAACAGCATTTGTTTAAGGTAGTAAATCAACTAGTATCAACTTGACAGACAATTTCTGATAAAAGTGTAGATTTGTTTCTACATTAGGCCTTTGATACAAGAATTATTATAGACTTAAATTTTTTTGTCTTTTTTATCATGATTCGTGTGAAAATATTATTTTCTATTAATGGAAGGAGTTGAATTTGTCTCTGGGAAAGCAAAAATTACATTCAAATCATTAAAACTGTTGAAAACTTTGATTTTTTGGGGAAGGATGTTGTTGATCTGTTTACAGTTTCCGTCTTATTTTGATCTGTGAATATCAATGAAAAGAAATTTAAATTGAGGGAAAAGATGTCAAAGGTACAGTCAGTGAATGGTTGACAAAATAATAGCCTATAAATGCTTTCAAATGAGGGGATGGCTAGTGTTATGGCATGCTTTGTAGAGGTAAAAGAGTTGAGATTTGATGCCCTCCACCGTCCAACCTCACATCCCCTCCACCCTCCACTGTAAATCCCTTGACCTGATTCCCTCCACCCTCCTTCCTCCTATATCCCCCCCCCCCATCCTCTTTCTCCCTCTTCCCTGTATCCTCTGCCGCCCCCCCCCCCCCTTTCCACCGTCTGTCCCCTGACCCCCCACTCTGTTGTCTTTTACTAGATGTGTCATATTTTGTTGTCCACTCTCCGGATGTTTGTCTTCAGTCTGCAGAGCATTGAGTGATAAAGGATGGTTGGCAGGTGTTCTGGTGTGATTTGCTCCTTCTTTCTTATCAAACATCTATCGTCCTTATCTCTCCTCCTTCTTTTTTTGTGTTTATTACTACTCTCTTGAAACACATCTACTCTTCGCCACTCATACGACCTTATTTTGTGTTGCAAGTGCCGTATTGTTCTAAATAAAACTAAAACAGAGCACCGGCTATCTCAGTCTTTGTGGTGGGAGGTATCCCTATTAGGTAGGGTTGTCCCTGACAGGTACGGCGCCGTGGAATCAGGCTCTCGTCAAAAAAATCAAATTGAAGAAACTTGCATTTTTCCGCTGGTTTGTGAATTTTTATAAAATTTTTGTTTTTTGGCTCAACACCTTCCATGCCCTTTAAAGAACTCATTTCTGAGTAGATTTTCTGAAAAACGTTGAATATAAGCACAAAAAAATGTCAATTTTCAGTTGCCACGGACTCTTAACTTTGGCGGCCGTTTTCTCACTAATTTTACTTTGAAAACAGGTGACCCCCACCTCCTTCTTTCGCAAATATCTCGACTTGTATTTAAGATAGATATGTCTTTTTTTCATCTAAATAAAGACAAGTGAACAAGCTTTAAGACGATAACAATAACTCTACATTCCTAAAATTTGACGAGAGCCTGATTCCACCACGCTGCCTCACAAATGATCTAAATTGTGCAGATGGGGGTGTAAAACACTTACATTCAAACCTTAAAATGAAAAAGACTGCAGAGCTGGGTAAAAGAATTGAATATCCAACATAATAAGTAAAATTACTGGTTGAAAGTAGATGAAGAGCACAAGGAAAAAAAATGACGGTAATCACAAACTGGAAATTGTGTGGGTGCCAATTTTAAAAGGTTGTGGACTCATAACTTCATATTTGTTTGACTAGTAGTTTATTGTTAATTTAGGTGTTGCTGAATTGGGAATCTAACAATAATAATGAACCAACTGTTGAAAAGAAACACAGCTATGAGTGTGATTACCGTCATTTTCCCCCTGTCGTCTTCAGATGATAAGAATAATGATAATAGTGCAAACAATAATGATAATGATGGGTTACTCCTGACAGAAAGTAAAAGTTATTTTTATAAAGACTTTGGCGAATGGTATTGTTGAAGGTCTTCTGGTGCTATCTAGACAGTTTACTGTACTTCCAGACTGACTGGACGTTGTAACGACAATGCAGGGGCATTTTTGATTGAAGCTCTTGCTTTTATGATTGTGGTGGGTGGGTGGGTGGATCGATTGCGTCATATTTTGCTGTGTCGTTTAAATCAAAGAATGCTGGGAAAGATTATCAGTGGCAAATAAATTGTGACAGCGAGTGACCAGATGGGACTTTTTGCAAGAAATTAAAAACGCATGTATTTCTCGACTGGAAGAAAAACATTATTTTTCCTTGGTTAAAAAAACCCAACTCTATCAGTCTAAGATTGAAAGAAAGTTGCAATTAGTCTGTGACTGGAAGAAAAGCATGATTTGTCTATGACTGAAAAAAAAAAGAAAAAAAAAAGTAACCCACATAACGTTGTATTGTTACTTTTGCTGTAAGTGCTGACCGGGCTTGTGTTGGTATGTTGTGAAATGTTGTGTTTGTCAATTGGTCCTTTTGTCATGTGGCTATTTTTAGAGGTTTTATTGGTTTTTTAAAACAATTATTTTGTTGTTGTTGTTGCTGCTTGGTTGATTGTTTGTTTGGTTGCTGTTGTTATTGTTGTTGGGCATTTTGTTGTTGTTATTGCGGCTGGGGTTTTAAAATAATTTTTTGTAGAAAAGTGTTTAAATCAGCTTAATGAAATATAGTTGATTTTTGTTTTGTTTTTTGTTGTTTTTTTCCTCTTGTTTCGGGGTGGGGGTGGGGTAGGGGGAGGGTTAGGGGTCCTGTGTGTTTATGCTACAAAAAACAATCCCAATCCCAACCCCAGTCCCCCCTCCAAATTTTTTTTTTTCAACCTTTAAAAAACCCAACAGCCCCCTCCACACAAAACCCCCCCCCAAAACCCCCCCCCCCCCCCCCCACAAAAAAACAACAACAAAAACCCCCCAACAAAACCCAAAACAAAATAAAACAAAGACAACTGCCAAAAAATCCGAAGTTCAAGAAGATATCCTTGCACCTCAATATTCAATATTCTCGCCACTTTTCCATTCACTTCCAGCATTTGTGGGTATGTATGACCAGAGATCTTCTTGTTCCCTACTTTCTCAGCTAAACTCCTTATTGCTCCACCACATAATACGCTCATTCCTTTTTTTTCTTTATTCTCTTTTCTTTTTTTAAACAAGTTTCAGATAATGTCCTTTTTTTTGTTCAACCTATTTTTAATCCAAACGTTTCGGACTGACCCAAATTCACCCTTTACTTTTGAAACATTTTGTTGTTGTTTCATTTTGCTAACTCGTATTTCATTTTACCATAATTTTTAGAATATTGTCAACTGTTTAGATTAGAATAATACTAGATCTATGTCATTGTGTATTTATTTTTTACTTTGAAAAAAAAATCTTGTAGATATAGCTGTCTGGAAATTTGTAGTAAACCTAACTATTGTTTTCTTTTTTTCTGTTTGTTTTCGTCTGTCTATATTGCTCTTTTCCAACGGTAAATTGCTGTTGTTGAGCGTTGAAGAATCTTCCCTTGACCCCAGAATTCTTGCAGTTAGTTAATATCAGTGTATTCTGTAACATGTCAACAGCTTGCGAATTGGCCTTTATGGTGTCGATGTGCTTCTCTTCACCTTGAAACTCAACTCCTGTCGTTTTGTTTTAGACATTTTGTTTTTTTCAAATTTAAACCATGTGTTAACCAGTACTAGTGACAATTGTTTCGTTTTATTTAGTGCTAATTTTTCCTTGTTTTTCGGAACTATTCCCGAACCAAGTTTTTTAGTAATGACTAAGCCTTTGTTTCTGCTATTTAGAAGTTGGAGTCAAGCTTTTGGGGCTATAATGAGACATAGTGCACTAGGTATTAGACCCCTGTAGAAAAACTCCGGGAAATGTTGGAAAAAACTCAGGGCTTAAAGAGTTAATCTTGGGGCTGGGAAAGAGGTTCCCCCCCCCCCCCCCCAAAAA